GGTGGAGAACCTGCCCCGGCCACCCCGGCCGTGGCCGGGGTAACTTTCAGCCTACCCCGGCGCGGCCGGGGTAACTTTTCTACTCTTGTAAATCCTAAAAGCTGTCTCCATACGAGAAAAGAAAACTCACGCTCTTCGAATGTTGACTTCCATGGGCGTAATATTGCAAATCAGGTAGGTATTTACCATTTACTTAACTTGCCATAATCTCCAACCCTAAGACCCGCGTATGGTCGCCAATGCCAAGATTGCTCTCAAATCCTGTTCAGTTTCGAAATTTTTACGCGCCTTCGGCGCACTTTTTCAAAGCCACTGCTTGGCCTCATTGTCTTCGACTCGCCTGCCACCAACCGCAACCACACCCGTTTATGAGCGTACCCGTCAGGGTGCTCATAAACACCGAGCGGCCATCATGCTTCGAACTCGGACTGTTGTAACCGGGACGCGTGCTCTCGCCACGCGGAGTCCAACGCTCTAGCGACTGAGCTACGTGACCGGGACAGGTCGATATTCCTGGATCGACTCCCTTTTTGTCTTATAAGAGCCGCCCAACATTGAAAAAGGCTGCGTCCGTGGATGTCAGTGACCTATTTTAGTGCTTTGTTTGGTTCGATCTGTCAGTTTCTCTGTAAAGCTTCTACTAGATGAGTTGTCTTTTTGTAGCTATTTTGAGACACAATAAAAAGCTGAAAACGCAACATTTAGGTACTCAAAATGGCATATGGTTTGGTTTGGGTTTGGTGTGAAATTGCAAGTTTGAGTAAAAAGAAATAATAACTTAAAAGGAAATTGCCTTTTCGATCATTCCAAAAATGTTATGAATAATACGGTGTCGGTCGGATACAACGCTCATCCTTGAGCAAACACAGCATCCTATTCCATGCGTCAGAATAGGGGTTTGATGATGACCGTTGAGAACAACGTGCGTATATCGTCTTCCCGCGACTATCGGTCGCCGGCCGGGGTAACTTTTTCAAACATTCTCCACCCATGAATACACTATCCACCAGTCATAATTGCAGTTGCAACCACGTGACGCAGATAGGTATATAGCATATAACTTGCATGGCATTCGTAATTTTGTATGTAACAATAAAGTACAAAAATATGCATATATATGGCGAAATCTAATGGAAGATTACCGTAAAGCACATGGGTTCATTCACCGTGAGGAATTGCTCTGTTCCATCGAGCGGCGATTATCGGTATGCTGCAGACTTGCCTGCATGGTTCTGCATGGTCCAAACTTGCCTCCGTTTCCATAGTCCGTTGCAATCTTACCGTCCTCACTTCATAATTTCACCGAGTGCAGGGCGCCTCCTTATTTGAATACGTACAGAGCAAGTTACAAATAAAAACTGAACTTTATCGTTAATGCACTATCACTTGAAACAAAACTGCACTTCAAACAACGTTTGGCGACATTACAAGCACGTAAATTCAAATAATTCCTGTCCTCACTCACACCGCACACACCACGTGGCACACCGCGCGCGCAACTGAAGTCCAACGGCTTTCTAACGGTTTTCCTCAAGGTCGCACTATTTCGTCTTCGTGGTGGACCGACTAACACAAATGACGTCACTAGGCAATGCAGCCTGCTGATTGGCCTATTTCATCTTCGTGGCGGATCAGCTATATGGCTAGCACACACATGACGTCACTCGGGGCATTGACTCAAATCACTGAACCTACACCAGGGTTACGGAGTCAGAGTCGGAGTCCGTTGGAGTCGACAGTTCTGGCCGTAGTCGGAGTCGGTTGGAAACGACAGTTCTGACCGTAGTCGGAGCCGGAGTCGATATGGAAGCCGGAGCTGGATTCGGAGTCTGATTCACCGAAAATCTCTTGACTCTGCAGTGTTGGTTCCTTATACCACCAGTGACGTCAAAACAAGTTCTGTAATAATTTAGTGTTTTTTGATATTACCATGTGGAGTTTTTGAACCCTATGGATGTCATTTCACTCAGTTGAGCGTTTTCGTAATCCGTGACTCGCTTATTAGGTGTAATTTGACCCTCAGTGGTGCCATGATATTCCGGTGTCATTTGAACCCAATGGGGCTCAAATGACACCGGAATATTATGACACTACCGAGAGTCAAATTACACTCAATAAGTCATTTGAACGGAATATTATGACACCACTGAGGATCATATTACACCTAATAAGGGAGTCACGGATTGCGAAAACGCTCAACTGTGTGAAATGACACCTATACGATATAAAAACTCCTCATGATAGCGTCAAAAAACGCTCAGATGTGTCATTTTACACTGACACCGTGCAGGATCTTTTGACACGACACCTAAAATGGGAGTCAAAATTTTGGGAGTCAAATGACCCTTGGGTATGTGATTCTGACCGAGATCAATTTACACTAGAAACGGTGTATGGACACTGTTTTTCAGAATCGGATTACACCATGGGTGTCAGTTGATTCCCAAATAGGGGATCGTGATTCCCGGGGGGAGTAATTATTTTTCTCCGTGTAGCCCTCGGAGTAAAGTTTGATACGGGGAAGGACAAAAATCAATATGTGGATCATATTCGTCGCAACACTAGATGGAACGATGAAGATGTAGAAAAGGGTTTTATTCAAGGCGTGCTGTTATGCTGTAAAGCTCTAGCTGATAAGGAGGCTGATAAGTTGCCAAGGAGATACATGGAAGCGTTGAGAAGATTAGCCAAGGATTCGTCCGTGATTGTCACCCAGGCAGATAAGGGAGGTGGATTGGTGATTATGGACATTGATGACTACACAAAGAAAATGAATGACCTACTCCAAGACACTGAAACATACGAAAAGAAACCTTCGGGATACACGGACAAAATTAGTAAGAAGTTCAATCAAGAAGCAAGACAGGTACTCAATAAATCCGAAAAAGGGAAAAATCTTCTCCATCTGCTAGAAGAGGCGCCTGCTGCACCACGAATGCGCGGTCTCCCGAAGCTACACAAAACGAATGTTCCGATGCGACCGATAACGTCAGGGATCGGCAGTGCTCCACACCGACTCGCGAAGGTCTTGGCCAGGCCTCTTTCAAGCACGTTGGGCACGATCAGTGACGCACATCTCCGCAACACTGAGGATCTCATGGACAAGATCAAGGACATGGACTTATCAGATAAGTTCCTGGCTAGTTTCGATGTGAAGTCTTTGTTTACCAACGTTTCGGTAGACGGTGCGTTAGAGGCGATCAAATCTGTAGTAGCGAATATGGACTCCGAACAGTTACCTGTGCCAAAAGATGACTATTTGAAATTACTTGCAATGTGCCTTAACTTTGGGGGATTTCAATTTCAGTCTGACGAGTATAGTCAACATAGGGGACTAGCCATGGGGTCACCACTGAGTCCGGTGGCGGCATGTTTGTACATGGAGTGGCTCGAAAAGCACCATTATCAGGGCATCATGGGCAGTAGCGTAATTTGGTTGCGTTATGTTGATGATATCCTCGTAGTAGTGCCAAAAGAAACGAACTTAGAGGACAAACTTGATAGACTTAACTCGGTAGAGGAAAAGATTCAGTTTACACTTGAGAAAGAAAGCAACGGGACGATTGCATTTCTTGATACTGTGATCATACGTGGGAGTCAGCCAAAATTTAAAGTGTATCGAAAGCCTACAAACAAAGAGTCGTACGTACATTTCTATTCTGGACACAATGATCGGGTTAAAAGTGGGATTGTTTTGGGGTTTTTCCTTAGAGCGTATCGCATTTGTAGTGAAGAGTTTATAGATGAAGAGATTCAGCACATCATGGCATCGTTCACGAAGTTAAAGTACCCCAAAGGATTTCTAGTCAACTTGAAAAGAAAAGCTATCAATATTCGAAAGCGAAGCGCGACAACAAAGACGAAGAAAACCGAACGATATATAACACTTCCCAATTCGAAACCAGCCGAGATGATAGCGAAACAGATTGAAATGACTGGATTTAAAATCGCTTTCTCTTCGGGAACAAAGGTAGGGGATATCCTAAAAAACCACACAAAAAGAAATGGAGAAGAAAAAAGTTTAGTGTATAAGATTCCTTGTGGTTCTTGTGACAAATCATATATAGGGGAAACCGGGAGGGGCTTAGACGTTAGATTAAAGGAACATAAGCGGGACATGCGAAACAACGCAGAACATAGCGCGGTAGTAATTCATGCTCAGAAAACACATCATTTACCAAGATGGGACGGGGCAGAAATTATAGCATTATGTAAAAACAAAGACAATCGGAAGGCGACAGAGGCGGCATTTATAGCAATGAACGAAACGATTAATATTAGGGTGGGTTCGATGAAATGGGCAAAACCAGCGGCGATGTATAGTTTAAAGAAGACGCGTCATTAGTTTGAATAAGTACCTACTTGTTCATGATCGTTCTGTACAAATTTGTTGTTATCCATGTGTCATATGTATGTCAGTGATCTATTTTGCTATCATTTTTTTCGTGGATATTCTCCTACAGGTGGATTAGTAGCTAATATGTCATATGCATGAATTTTTAAAATCAAGACGATTGCACTGTGACGAGCTCGAATGTTTGTGTGCTATATCTTGTTTTCTCTGTGATTATGTCATGCTGATGAAGATTTAATAATCGAAACGCGTCCATGCACTATTTGTTCCGTGTTTTTCAAGGTGACTGGTGTTACACGTCGATCAACAAAGATGGTGGCACGTATTGGTGGCGGTGATGGGATCAAAGCGGTTCGTGCTTAATTAAATGGAGTGCTGGGAGAACATATTGAATCATCGTTGCCGATAGTATTAGGAAATTATATTCTTTCGATCGCTTAAAATTATGAGGACATATCTATTAATATAGACCTCTGTATACCATAGACATAACATAGACCTAGGTATACGGTATACAGAGGTCTATGATATTACCTATCTATAATACGATATATCGGGAAAACTCATACCCATTATTGCAATATTGTGATCCACATCATTGTGAAATGTTTGTATTTTTGCAAGAAACAAGTTTGTTTGTGATTACCTGATTGTAGATGATGGTCCAGGTGCCCAGATTTCCAAACATGTCCTGCGCCGTGTCCGGGTACTCCAGCAGCACGGAAAACTTCTTATCGAACGCATCTGCATGGAAATTAGCGAAACAATTGTCATTTGTACCTACATAGATGCACTGTGGCACGGCAATGAGGCAGCAAATTTCGGAGTACCTACAACTTATTGGGGGATACCAATGAGTATAAAAACGTTATTCTAAAACACATTTGCTAAACTGTAGGCATTTTGCGAACATATTCCTGTAAAAATTCAATTTTAAGTTCGATTTTAAGAGCATGCAATAAGAAATGCAAGTATGACGAGTCCTCCACAAACCAAGTTCACTATTTCACCCATACCATTACTGAAACATTTCCCTCATATCTACTCAGTACTCACTATGGTCGGGACAGCTGATGGTTTCATCTCCAACGGGAAGACCCTCGTAGAAGTTCCACGTGCCAGCAATGTCCTCAAACGTGCAGTTGGCCGGTGTGTCAGCGATAGATGGCGCCACCAGCGCCAGAGCAAAGAGCAACCCTAGCGGCCACATCTGCAAAAGCAGTCGGTGTGTCAACTATAGATGGCCCCATTAGCACCAGAACAGCTAGCGCCCCTAGCGGCCACATCTGAAAACAGTGAACGTGTCATCCATCGCACAATGGGCGGGCGGCCGCATTTAGCGCGACAAAAATACAGTTTCGCCTGTCGGAGCCTCTGGGTGCTTGAGAGCGAATAATGCTAAGGTGAAATGTCTTTGGATGTTGTTTAAGATATTTCTGGGACACATTAAGTACATTTATTTTATGCTTACCATAGCAGCAACGTGGTGCAATATTCAATGAAAATACTATGAGGTCGCCAAAACACATCGTATACATTATCAGCCGTGCAGGAATGAAATGCGAACTATTTCAAATGTTATTGCTTTAACCTTCGCCCGAATTGGTTTTGACAGCCGCGAACGTATAGGGGGGGGGGGGGGAGACCGTCCGGAACCGCCCAGGTCGTTGAACGTTGCCCTTTCCGTTTCGCCCCTGATCGAGCTAGAGCCTCGCGGAAAATAACGAGCGTGCTGTCCGTGACGAGAGGAAGTCGATGATACCCAATTTTAACCCTCGCCGGCACAGGCCATTTTGCGTCCTTCGACGGCACAAGGGGGGGGTACAGACCCCCCTCGCATTTGGCCTCTGATCGAGCTAGAGCTTCGCGGAAAAACGAGCGTGTTGCCCCTGACGAAAGGAAGCCGATGATACCCAATTTTAAGGTCCTAGGTCATCGGGTGACCTTCCGGGTCAGGTCAATGACCCGAAAACCGGGAAAATCGGGACCTGTTGGAAAGTCGTAAAGTGTGGCTGCTATGTGGTTTTCCGGGGTGCTGATCACGAATATCGTGTTAGTTTTGATCAGAGATGATGTCTTTAAGCATTTAGACCAGGTCGGGTCAGGTCAGGTCAGGTCAACCGGTAGGGGTTGTGACGGGTATTCGTAATGCGTGTCAACCGCCTCTGACAGCCTCATAACATGTTACGAAGGCGCCAAAACTACTTCGTAAATGTTGAAATGGTTGCTAAATTCGAATTCAGCTCCAAAAACTAGCCTAGAAACATGTTAAACTCCAAAAAGTGAGCCGAGGTCACCCGAGGTCACCAAAAGTTAATGACCTGACCTGACCTTCAGGTGACCTTGACAACCACCCTTATGTATGGAAGCAACATCAAATCACATTTTTGAACGTTTGAAACCACGAAAAGCTTGCAAACGCGCGGCTAATGCGAGCCGACATACGCCGAATCGCGATTCCGGCCAAACATGGTCTCGAAAAAGAGGTCACAGGTCAAAGGTCATTTGAGTCAGGGTCATGAAATTTTGATGGTAGGTGTAAAATTGATCAATGCGAGGGTACTGAAAGTTTCGTCGCGATCGGCCGCTTTTTACGCGAGTTATTCGCGAAAAAACGAGGCGGGGGGGTCCGTTCGACCCCGCCCCTATACGGGCGAGGGTTGAGGGACAAGTTAACCCTCGCCGGCCGAGGGGGGGGGGGCGGGTGCCGCCCCCCATAGGTTTTTTTCGCGATAGCTCCGAACACGCTGGCGATAGAGAGCTGAAACTTGGCATACCTGACCTTTGATCCAAGCCGCATCTTTTGACACCAACCGCATTTTTGGGTCAGGTCAGGTCACTGACCTATGACGTCATAAGTGAACCTCTGCACGGTCTTCAGATGTCGCAACTTCGCAACGTCCTCACTGCCAGAGGAGATGTCACAGGGAAATGAAACTTGCAGGATCTAGTATCCATTATGAGTCCCACAACTTGTATATCTCGGATTTTTCCTAAAGGTCATATGAGGTCAGGTCATTTTCGTGACCTCACCATTATAAGTCAATGGGGAAAAAATTCAAACTGCTATTCTGGCGCCGGGAACGATCTCCAACTATCTCAAGCACACAGAATCGTGATTTTATGCACTCCTTGCAAGGTTAGATGCGTCGCTTTTGCAATGTTGACCTTGCGTGACGTCATTTATGACGTCATCAAGGTCATATTAGTTTTTCGTCAATAACTCTTGATCAAATTAAGCTAGCGAGTCGGGAAAGCCACCAATGGACTCAGGAAGACCTGCCGAATCGAATGATATGCGACATGACCTCTTTCGACCAGCTTCGTGACCTGGGGGTGCTGACCTGACCTTGACCTGAGGTCAACACCCCAAGTTGACCTGACCCGGACAAAAAGTATATCATTCGACGCGCCTGAGCGAGACGAACACGATGCTGCCAAAATCGGCGCTCTGCGGCCGTTTTTTGCGAAGTTATTCACCAAAAACTGAACCGTACCTTGGGGCACTTGACCTGACCTCAGAGGTCACCGGTTGACCTAGGACCTTAAAATCGGGTACCGATCTCTGCGTCTCGTAACGGCGCACACGCTCGTTTTTTCCGCGACGCGCCAACTCCACCAGGGGCGAAACGGCGAGGGGGGGTCGTACCCGCCCCCCCCCCCCTCGGCCGGCGCGTATGTAGAAAACCAATAGGTCCGGCGAGGGTTAAGTCAGCCCGTACCAATCTAGCTGAAGAAAATCGATTTTATTGCAACCGGTAACAACACTGTCAGCTGTGTCACGTGACATGTCAACCAACGAGCCAATCAGCGACCCGGAATAAGCCCACGTGTGGGGTCAGCGACATGCCTCATATCGCCCAGGCGCCCGGCCGCCCTCGTGCCTCGGTGTGCACGGGCATAAACGTGTCCGACAAAAATGGTTATAATTATGAAGATCGCGGGTATTAGCAGCTACATTTTATCGCAACTTGTAGATAAACACTCATTTTAACTAAACCAAAGAACTACGACGCGGAAATCGGCGGAAATTATAACTTAAGGGTTCTTTGAAAATAAAAATTTGATTTTCTGAAGCCTTGTTCGTAGCGTCTCACAAAAAGGCATGTAGATATTGTGCAGGGGAGTTCTGGGAAGTGAAATGCCTGTCTCTGCGTTGACTATGTCCTTGTTCATCGTAAAACTTCAGAAAATAGGCTTACCGCCGGGCAGTTTCTGTTTGATAAAGCAACGAACACAGCGCATTGAGCATAGCATATTGACCACCATGTGATGGATGGTAAACATTGTCGAATGTTTCGCTCATTTTAGCGTTGATGGCATTATGCCAGCAAGCTTATTTGAGTATTTTTGAATGCCCCAGGTATTTCTTAGTTTAAACGCATCGTTGTTGTATGTTGTTGTCGGAGGTCACCGAAATGATTTTTGTCGCGCTAAATGCGGCCGCCCGCCTATCGTGCATCGGTGGCGCCTCCTGCGACAACGCCACCAGTCATCACAATCACAATACCTATGATTACGAGTTAAGGCCTGGCTACACTTTGTGTTTTCTGCGTGCGCTTTTTTGCGGTTTTGCGCGTTTTGCGTAATATAGTTCTAGAAAAACGATACTTACTACGTTTTTGTGATGTTTTATATGTATATTAAGTTTTAGTAAATATAAGAGTTAGGCATATCAACTTTTGCATATAACTAATTTAAAAGCTACGTTATTAATTACCTACTTTTTCTAGAAAGATATTATGCAAAACACGCAAACCCGCAAAAAAAACGCACGCAGAAAACGCATAGTGTAGCCAGGCCTTAACAATATGAAAACACCTTGCCATGGGCACCACTTGCACCAGAAAATAGTGCTTGGCCGCCTTTGCTATGTGAAAAATCGAAGGCCCAGTATCACTTGTCCCACGGTGACAGACACTAGTGAATCAAGATAGGCGGCCTTGGACACTGCCCGCGGATGGAAGGATATACCCCATTCCCAAAAAGTTTCTCCAATTTCTAAAAGGCAAAAACTCATCGCATTTGGATTCCTTACAGACTGCTGTGCAGTTTAAAACATACCTACCTTGTTTAGTGTTCGTTTTTCTCTAAATGAAACCGCAAGTTTTCGTGGATTTCGGGCGCTGTGAGGGGGAAGGTATTTGCCCCCAATCCCCCCAATCCCCCCTTAAATCCGCCAGTGGTGACGGACATATTGGGGAGATGCTAGTGAACGCATGCAACATAAATCATGAACCCCAATGCGCCATTCGGAAGAGTTGTCCGTTCGAGGAACATTGAGATTAAACACATTTACCCCCTTACTCAGCATAAGCTTTAGCAAGTAAATATAATGAATATCTATGCACATTGCACAAGCTATAGTTTCGTTACTTGCATCGGTTATAAATTGAAAGTCTGTCCGTAATGTGCATTGGCTCTGTTCGTGTATTTGCGATGATTGAGTGGATTTTCCGCAGTCTCCAAACAAAGCCCAAATGATAGGGCGCATTATACGGAGTCCTTAGCCAACTCAGCGTTATCATACAAGGTCTTTGTCCGGCGATCAGCCCATTCAAAAGGCTTACAAATACAATAAAAGCTTTTTCTCCAATGAAAAGGTCGCTCCAGAAGCTTTCAAACGCAGTATGTATAAGCCATTTATCCAGAGCCAGTCATTTGCCTTCTGTAACCTTTTAGAACTGTAATTGCAATGCTGTTACAAAGACATTGACTCAGCGAAAAATACTGCATTTGGCTCGTGCATACCTACATAAGTACATAATGACGTCATATAAAGAGCTTCAGGCGCATACCTTCATACCATAATTACCTAACATACCGTAATTGGAGTGGCGACACAAAATCACTTCTTACCAAGTAGGTAAACTTAGGAACAAGCGAATCAATAGCTTGCTGGGAGAATAACGCCGGTAAAGCGACTGGTTGATCCTTGAATGTGGAATGATAAAACATAGCTTTATAGTATTTGAATCAGTTCTTAGCCATTTGAGGCTCTCACAATTTTAGATTTTTAGCATTTAGCTGCTTGAAATGACTGACAATTGACATGTTTTATGTTTTGTTGTTTTTTGTTGAAGTTGTTTTAACCCTCGCCCGCACATGGGGGTGGGGGGGGGGGTTGCCAACCCCCAGGTAGTCTTTCTGCTCTGCACTCAACATTTTTAAAGCTAGAAGGCTGATTTTTCGTATAGCTGCTCCTCTATCCTTTCTTGATGTCCACTAAAAATTTTAAGTTTCTGCGGTTTTTGGTTTCGGAGATATGACCTTGTTTTTAAGGTCATGTCATGACCCAAATGGCCAATTCTCAACATCTTGCGTTGGCTATGGGCCTTGTGAGCTTTTGACACCTTGCTTTCGGTCTTTTTTTGCCAGTCTTACCTCCCACCTATCATGGAACATGCTGTTCGACGATGTACAGGGGTCAAGGTCAGGGTCGAGGTCAACCTAGGTCATCTAAGATCATTGCGTTTTAGGCAAGCGGAATTTACTTTTTGTGAAGTTTTTCGACTGCAATTTTTGTAAAAGCTTCTCAGATCATGAATTCATGTAATATGGACACATAAGCAATCGGTGCACACATCAGTATACACACAGACACACACAGGCATACAAACACATATAATTGACCTTGACCTAACCTGACCTGAAATGACCTCAGCAGCAAAAACCTGGTCGGGTAGTGTGACAAAGAGGTTCTAGCTGGCTTGGCACCAGAAAACGGCATCGTCATCGGTATTTGATAAGCAGCGCACTTGATATCCAACGGTGACCCAAAACAGCAACATTTTTTAGTTTGACCTGACCTGGAAGGTCAATGACTGACCTGAGAAGGTAAAACTGGGTATCATTGGATTTGTCTCTTCCTAAAGAATTTTTTGGTCGTTACCGCTAAGCTCTATCTCCAACAGGAACGAAATGGCGCGGGGGGTGGCAACCATGTGCGTTCTAGGATGGGAAAATGGCATGTGCGGGCGAGGGTTAAGTAAAATTTCTGACACGTTATGACATTTTTTATGACGCTTTTTTTAATTTTCTTTGTTGATAAAAACATTGATTGGTCCTAATATAAATTATTTTGAATGATATATATTAACACATGGTTTCCCGTGTGTAAATGGTTTTAACGCACGACGTGGATGGACTGGAGCACGAGTGTGTTAATGCACGAGTGAAACGAGTGCATTAACGCACAAGTGCTCCATTCCATCCACGAGTGCGTTAAAACCATTTATGCACGGAAACCATGTGTTAAACTTATTAATACATGCTTAACGGTGCGAATTTAAATGAAAATTAAACCTGGTCCATGCCACTAAAAAGGGCCCTTTATGGGAAATCTTAGAATAAAGTCAATGACACTTCCGAAAAACTTCAGTCGAGAAAGTCATCACTGCACGCGCGTGCACCAATTTAAATTGGTGCACGGCTACCTTCGAATTAACGCACGGTTAATCTCCAGTGAACGCACCGTAAAGTATGTATTAATTGACTTTTGTCATACATATATGTCATTATCAGCTTAAACAAACACCATTTTGAAACTGCACAGTAACGAGCAATCAGTTAAGTCTGAGTTTTCATGAACATACTTTTCCAATATTTTGTTAAAGTTACTGAGGGTGCATGCGTTACCAAGGTACTTTCGGATACATTGTCTGATATAAAATCCAATCGAAGTTGTACAAGCTGCGTATTCCGAATGAAGCATCTGTTATCATCTACCTGTTAACCCGCGAGTTGCTGGGGGGGGGGGGGGGGGCGTTAAACGTTAACGCCCCCACTTTTTTCGCCGGGCCATAGCATAAAAACGGCGCGCCGCAGGCGCGCCAAATTTTGGGTACCTGTAGGGAATTGATTGAAGTTTATTGTGACAAAGTTTCAAAAAAATCGGTCGGAAAATTTTTGAGATATCGAGGTTTTAGTGACGTCATGATTTCTGAGTTTTCGACCAAAAACGGCATATGTTCAAAAAATCATATAAAATCACAGAATAGACATACAGACATGCCGTAAAGGCCATTAGACTACCAATACCATGATCAATCAAATGGATATCTTCGATTATTGATTATCGTTCCGCATTTTCCAAAATCTTGAACTGAATCTTGGCAATTTTTCGTGACTACTTCACGACCATGATAAATGAATTTCTTAAATTGAACTTTTTGAGTCAAACACGTACACATATGATAAAATGAATGTCACCATCGTGTTCTACGCCTCAAATTACCTATAAAACATGTGTCACAGGCTGCGAATATCAGTTTTGATTTTCGGGGATATGTGCCTACCCGGTTGACCTGACCTTGACCCTGACCTATGCTTGACTGACCCCTATATGGAGCTGACACTCTTGTAGGCCTTATAAGATGGATTGTGCACCGTTTTGACAGAGTTTATGGCGAGAGGCGCCCATTGCGAAGTCCTGAAGTCCATGCTACTGAAAGCCCGATTTCAGGTGTTTGACCTGACCTTGACCCGACCTGTGACCTCAAAATTCAACTTAAAAGTATTCATCTGAAGCGTCTCGTCGCGCTCTTTCGTTTGCCGCCTCGTGCGTTTCGCTGCGCCTATTGGTTCTTGAGTTATCGGCTGGGGGCGTTTAACGCCCCCCCCCCCCAAGCAAACGGTGGGTGGCGAAATACCCCAGCAACTGCCTGGTTAAAGTGACCATCCCACCTTACAATTAGTTTTGAGTTGAGACACCCTTAGTGGGGTTCCTGGCTTGCAATTACTGGATTGGACACTCAAACATCGAAGAATAGTTAAATTCCGCGATATTTTGCTTTAAAGTCTGCAGTTTTCGGATTAAAAGGGGCTAATGCATTTGAATGCCCTCTTAGAATTTGTGACGCTAGCGCAGATCTAACGATTTTTAAGCCTTACTAAAACCTTGGTAAAACATGATGGTATATACGGCTTTGTGCGCAGCGTCTGCCGCACTGTTATGATGCCAAATTCCTTCTTCCAAAATGATGTCATAGGAACAGCGGAAGCCTAAAAAATTAACAAAACTTTAAGTGTAATATCTTGAGAACCATTTAATATTCTTCGGTGAAATTAAGTAGATATTCATTTTCGCTCCTTCCGAACCACGGTGCTTCACTGTTATGCGGTTTCATTAACTTGTTTGAAGGACTGGGAAGGTCCTTTAAACAAGAGGCTGCATGCATTTGCCGTTCTTATTGCAATTGTCTTATACACAGTGCACCCATGGTCAGATTTGAATGTGCAGCTCAATAGATTGAAAGCTAATACTCGTTTGCACTATCGATGTTTTTAAATTTTACTTGTAAATGATTTTCTGTTACTACTTTTTAGTTTTTTCACCTACTTATTTTCACGCTTGCAGTCAGCATGCAATCAGCACAATTCCGTGTTTGCATTCTGAGACTGATGCTTGAAATACCACTCGAGCTAAATTATATTATATTATCAACGCAACGGCTATGCAGCCTTAATCTGTTGAACAGGTAATGCCAATTTTAGTTAGTTTTTCACCTAAAGGTTCTCATTATTCGTCGGCCCCTATGATTTCAGCTCTATGTGGGCACTCTGGTGCTGTGTTTGCACCTCTAACGTCCCAAGGATTACTGGAGCTGGCCTCACTGACAACAAAGACCGACCACCAGACGAATGCCAGATCAGACTGTTTATGACACGTGCCCCCTCCCCGAAACTGAGGGGGGGGGGGGGGGGTCGGCACCGGGGGCCCGCACCGCGCAGCCGCGCGGAGCGCAGTTTCCGCTATGGGAACAGCCAAAGTGTGAAGAAGTGTGTTGACTGCTGAATTATTTATCGTTGCCATTAAAATGGCAGTTTTCATGTTGCAAAAATAGCTCGAGTGTGATGATGAAAAGTCGTATAAATGCGAATGTCAGCGAAGGCGGTTTGACAAACTTGCTGGTTTGCTGTTTCTTGCTACAATTCTCTTATACGACAGTGGCCAAAAGAGGAATAAATAAGAATACGAAAATAAATTAAAAGGAAGGAGTCTGTTACTGAATATCTGAGTCCGGATATGAAAGGTCGTGTTAGCGCTAGCGTCCGTAGTACGTTTCGAGAATGGCTTTTATTTTACATTTGAATCGTTCACATTCAAAAGTTTGATCTTTTTGAGTGATTTTTACTAAAATCTTATTTGATCCTTGTTATGTGTCTTTACCAAAAACAAACAACAACAACTTCAGTCGTCCGATTGTCTCGATCCGCAAATATTGAAATGAAGATAAACTATGCTGTCCAAATGCATGTGTAGGCAGTTTAGTACTTACCTTGCCTAAATGCGTCGCACTGAGTCCAAATCCGGCAGCGAGTCCGTCCCGAGTCCGGAGTCCTGAGTCCCGGGTCCCAAACTGCAGCAGTCCGGTGGTCGTTCAGCTCCGGCCGGCCGGCGCCAAACAGCTGAGCCGGGCTGGTCTGGTTACTGGATATCCTCCCCCCCCCTCCCCCTCCCCCAGTACGGTACTGCGTCACTGAACGAGACCTCTCCGTGTCACCTTTGACCGAGGGGAGGGGATCAGGGGGGGGGGGGGTCAGGGGAGGTTAGTGATGCACACTGGCGCGGGGCCGACTGATTCGGAGGAAAAGACTACCTAACGGCTTTCTTGCAGAATGAGGAAGAAAAGTCGTGTAAATTCATCATTGTGAACAATATGATAGTGAGAGAATTACTAAAAGGGGTTCATCTAATAGATATGCATTTGCTTTGTACAGATATATTGCATCCCATACGCGTATAAAATGACGAAAACACTCGAAATGGTCGCTTTACATATTTTGGTCGCAACCAACATTATTTTCCGAAGGTCAAATATGATATGTAAATTAGTCAATAGTCTGAAAATGCAAAAATAAATGTCACAAAGGTTTATGCCATTTCATTGCCGGCGATATTTTCACTTTCCAATGTGATTGGCGTGAGATAAGCTAGAGAGTATCGAGTTGGTTATTGCAGTGTGATCCCCTGCCTGTTCCATGTAACTGTGTGACAACAGGCGTCATATTGCAGGATATGTGTGTGTGTGTGTGTGTGTGTGTGTGTGTGTGTGTGTGTGTGTGTGTGTGTGTGTGTGTGTGTGAGAGAGAGAGAGAGAGAGAGAGAGAGAGAGAGAGAGAGAGAGAGAGAGAGAGAGAGAGAGAGAGAGAGAGAGAGAGAGAGAGAGAGAGAGAGAGAGAGAGAGAGAGAGAGAGAGAGAGAGAGAGAGAGAGGAGAGAGAGAGAGAGAGAGAGAGAGAGAGAGAGAGAGAGAGAGAGAGAGAGAGAGAGAGAGAGAGAGAGAGAGAGAGAGGAGAGAGAGAGAGAGAGAGAGAGAGAGAGAGAGAGAGAGAGAGAGAGAGAGAGAGAGAGAGAGAGAGAGAGAGAGAGAGAGAGAGAGAGAGAGAGAGAGAGGAGAGAGAGAGGAGAGAGAGAGAGAGAGAGAGAGAGAGAGAGAGAGAGAGAGAGAGAGAGAGAGAGAGAGAGAGAGAGAGAGAGAGAGAGAGAGAGAGAGAGAGAGAGAGAGAGAGAGAGAGAGAGAGAGAGAGAGAGAGAGAGAGAGAGAGAGAGAGAGAGAGGAGAGAGAGAGAAAGGCAAATCAATTCCAAAATAAAAGAAGAAAACAGTTTGTATAGTGGCTTAGGTTTTTCCAGAGCATTTAGGTGCTAAAGAATAGTTTCTAATCATGTCGCTAAGACGCATGCAGCACGCGCACTGCGCAGTCCCAATCCAGAAACCTGTCAACCAGCATGGGACAAATGACTCAAAGTCCATTCGATAGTAAGTTCACGGAGGTAGGAACTGCCACAAACACTAGGTATAGGTGTAACTCAAAAAGTTATTTGATGTGAACTCAAGGAAGTGGACGCGTTATATCTGGTGCTCATTTCTTCCATTATTTTCGAATTGAGAATAACGGGGGATGCTTTTGTTTGTTGTTGTAGTCTTTGGTCAAAGCACGGAATATATAGTCTACGACATGGAATGGACAAGATCGAGATTTCCTGTAACTGCCGAGTTTTTGGCGACCTGATGATTTAGTCGTGCGGATTCGCTGTGGTTACTTCCTTTACGAGGATGAAAGTATAGTTGCCAGACCTATAACTAATAGGGGAAGGTGGGGCATAACGGGGTACCGGGGCAATATGAGAAGGTGCATTTTATTCTAATCAGTGTTGCTGTCTGGAATCACTTCTGACAATTTAAACTTCGCTCGTTTGCCGCCCTTTTCCGGTGGACGCCGGCGGGAGGCGGCGTTGCTGAGGATCGTGGGTAAGGTTTTTTCATGGTGCTGATGGATTTTTCAACATTCGTTTGGTAACTTTCTAGGTGAAAATCCGTTCGAGTAGGTTTGTCATAGTCAGTGAAAGCAATGACTCTCGTCCTAGCCAACCTTCGCTGCGATAGAAAGTTGCCCGGGCTGTTTTGATAAACATGAACGATCCTGCTCTATTGCCAATGTCCTTCGGGGGTTAAAAAGGGGTTTCCGGTAGAGGCGATATGGGGTGGTGAATTTTACCACATTTTACCACATTACCCCATTTACGTGCCCAGAAGTGCTTTTTTGTTACAGTTAAAACTAGTTGCCTTTATTGGCCCACTCACGTTTCATAAATGCATTTAGAGGAGGGGTTGTGTTAAACGTTTCAAACTTTGTCATAATGTTTCTTCATTATAAGTAGGTACACAGGCACCGTGTATGTGCCTAATATATATAGATTTGCCGAGATAAACTCTTTCATTTTCAGTAGCTTGGATCTTGGTTTAACCCTCGCCGGCCGAGAGGGGGGGCGGGTGCCGCCCCCCTTAGGGGTTTTTCGCGATAGCTCCGAACACGCTGGTGATAGAGAGCTGAAACTTGGCATACCTGACCTTTGATCCAAGCCGCATCTTTTGACACCAACCGCATTTTTGGGTCAGGTCAGGTCACTGACCTATGACGTCATAAGTGAACCTCTGCACGGTCTTCAGATGTCGCAACTTCACAACGCCCTCACTGCCAGAGGAGATGTCACAGGGAAATTAAACTTGCAGGATCTAGTATCCATTATGAGTGTCACAACTTGTATATCTCGGATTTTTCCTAAAGGTCATATGAGGTCAGGTCATTTTCGTGACCTCACCATTATAAGTCAATGGGGAAAAATGAAAACTGCTATTCTGGCTCCGGGAACGATCTCCAACTATCTCAAGCACACAGAATTGTGATTTGATGCACTCCTTGCAAGGTTAGATGCGTCACTTTTGCAATGTTGACCTTCCGTGACGTCATTTGTGACGTCATCAAGGTAATATTAGTTTTCGTCAATAACTCCCGATCAAATTGAACTAGCGAGTCGAGAAAGCCATCAATGGACTCAGGAAGACCTGCCGAATCGAATGATATGCGACATGACCTCTTTTGACCAACTTCGTGACCTGGGGGTGCTGACCTGACCTTGACCTGAGGTCAACACCCCAAGTTGACCTAAACCGAATAAAAAGTATATCATTCGACGCGCCTGAGCGAGGCGAACACGATGCTGCCAAAATCGCGGCTCTGCGGCCGTTTTTTTTGCGAAGTTATTCACCAAAAACGGAACCGTACCTTGGGGCACTTGACCTAACCTTAGAGGTCACCGGTTGACCTAGGACCTTAAAGGTAGTGTGCCACCTTTGAAAGATTTCCCATTTTATTTTTCCTAGGATAAGAAGCTTCTGTTTTTACCTAATATCGCAAAAAAAAATCAAAAATGGGCCTGGAATAGTGCCTTTTTCGCCTAAAAGTTTTTCGGTTTTTAGATATGTATAAACTGTAGTGGGCTCACCTGCAAACAGGCGTCGGGCAACACTCGCGAATGCGGCGCACTTGACAATAA